GGGGGGGGGGGGCGGCCAGACGGGATGGAGGAAGGCGAGGTGAGAGGCAGATGAGAGCGGGGAGGAAGGGAGCTGCTCGGGGGTCTGGGGAGCAGGAGGAGGTGGGAAGGGGCCGCCTCAGGGAGGGGTTTTGCTTTGCAGGGCAGCACGATGGCCTCAGGGTTCTGCCCCACAGATGAGGGGGAAGCAGCTGCGGGGCCAGCCCTGGCCCCACCAGGCTGCAGAGCTGCTGGGGAGCTGGTGGCAGGGAGCGAGGGAGGGAAGGGGGAATAAAATGTTGCTCCTAGGAAGCAGGTCGGCAAAGCCCATCAAAATTCACCATCTCACCCCTCTGCCATCAGAGGGATGGGATTTCTGCCATGCATCTCCTGTAAAGAGGCAAAGCCTCAGGCCGGGTGTTGCTCCCAGTAACTCCGCTCCCCAGCAAGCCACCCCGCATCGCCAGCCGCCCTCCGGGATGCGGCAGCTCGCTCCCTGCTCAGGCACATCCCTCCCACGCCTCCGTCCCGCTCCCAGGACGCAGCAATGAAACACATTCCTCGGGCTGCAGCCGGGCAGGGCCCGGCCTGGGACAAATGCCGCTCTCCATTTTGGGCATTTTCCTCCTCGCCCAGCGAGCCGGGTTGCTCCGAAAACAGGGCGCAGCCTTCGGGGTGGCTTTGCCCTCGCAGTAAGGGGGGGAGCTGCAAAAGGCATCACGGTCCTATTCCTGTGGGGGTTCTCAATAGGAGCAAACGGGAAGGGAAACGATAGCCAACTGGGATGGGGCCCAGAAGCTGGGAATTTCCTCCTTGTGGGACATGACTTGCCGTGGAACCCCAAATGCTGCAGGTAGAAAGGGGGAAACTGGAGAGAGGGGAGAGATAAAAGTGCTGGAGCAGAGCACCCTCCCTCTCCTGCATCTGCCCCTTGCTCCAGCGAGGAGAGAAAGGATGGCTGAGATTCATTAAATAAAGAGACAGGAAAACCTTGCTTAAGGAGCTGTCTGGGAAAGGGGCCATTTCAGGCCTGCTGTATGCAAGTGCCAGTGATTTGGGGCCAGAATAGACAATTGCTAAATATTCCTCCGAGCTCCGCTGTGCAGGGAGCTGCTTTCAAGCATGCCAGTTGCAGAAAGTGATGGGGGGCTTAATGGTGCTGTTTTTCAGACCAAGCTGGCTCCATGAGGAGAACAGAAGGAAAAAGATCCCCCAAATCAGCAGATTTCCTTCTCACAGAGCAGCTCAGGGCACCGACCTGGCAGTGCAGGGAATCCGGGGCAGCTCCAGCTGGAGGGAGGGCATCGTGCATCCGCAGCCGCGTTGAACGGTGTGGGCACACACGTCTCAGCATGCGGTGGGAACAGCAAGAGGGATGGAAACAGGGCTTCTCAGTCCTCTGGGTCGATCTGCACCTGTCATAAACCCACAGGATGAAATCTGGGGAGAAGCAGGAGCAGTGGGGGCAGCAGGAGATGCTGCTCCCGCCCAGGGAGCCCCGTTGCTGGAGGAGGTTTGCACCACCCAGCTTCAGCACAACCACTGCTATGGAGGGAGCCCAGTGGCTTCTGCCCCTGCCATCCCCCACACTTAGCTGGGAGCCAGCTCCAGGAAGGGGGCAAAAGGGTCTCTGCCCCGGGCCCCAGCCACCACCCCACCACCACGACCATGCACCCAGGCTGGCAGCAGGGACACCTCTCTGATCCCAACACAGAGAAACCAGGAGCAGGGGGTCCCGTCCCTCCGCTCTGCTGCTTTGCCATGTTCCTTACCGCTCTGGATTGAACCTTCAGCTCTAGAAAGTGTAAAAAAAGTAAAAAATAGATAAGAAATGTTGGTCAGCACTTTGCATACAAGCACCCTTCTCTGCGTACCACACATACTCAGCTCTTAACAGCAAAGGAGGACCTGTGCTTTCGCCTCTAGGCTGGTGCCACCAACACAGCACAGAAAAGCCACGGAGCTGAAGATAAACGCCCTGAAACAGATGAAATTAGCTGGGAACACCTGATACTCATTCCCACAAGGTTATGGTAAAGGTTGGGAAACGAAGGAAGTGCTGCACTGGCATGCTGGCAGCAAATCAAAGCAAATGACAGTAATTAAAGCATATGTTAGCAATAGGAAATTAAGCTAAAGCAACATTTCATCTACGGCATCTTCCCTGGGCACTTTAGAAAGGGTATAAGTTTACTGTAGAGAAAGAGAAATGAGGAGGCTGGTGCAGAGGATAGATGAGGGGGAAGTTAAAAGAATTAGAGAGTTTTAAAAGCTTTAGACTATACATTCAAGGTCATGTTCGCTCCCTGTATTTATTTTGAATTGCGAGTGAGCAGGAGGACTGAGAGCGCTGGCTGGCACCGCGGGGACCCTTGGGCTAATGCAGACCCCGATGTTCTCGGTGAGGGGGCTCAGCCCCGAAATTGCAACCCTCCGTACTCCTCCCTGCACGGCTGTGCTGGGCACGGATGGAGCTTTGCACTCATTTGCCCAGTTTTGCAAAAATACTTGTTCTTTCCCAGTTCTGCTCTTCTTCAGCTCACTCTGCCCCAGAACTTACCAAAGGGCAGCGCACCATCCTGGGGACCCAGGGACAGGGGCACCGCTGTCCCCTGCGCAGAGGGGAAACTGAGGCATGACATGACTAGCAGTCCTGAGCAGGGCGCAGGGCTGGGGGCACCAGCCGGGGCTGCACCCCAACCCTGCGGGGAAGCACAAGCAGCCACCCCCGTGCCGGGTTTGTCTCAGCCACGGCCCTTCCTCCCACTCCCACCCCTGAGGCTGGCAGAGATGCTGCGGTCCCGACCCATTGGGCACATTTCTGGGGCTGTACTGACTCACCGGCCGCCCGTGTCATCCCAGGTCACCCAGCTTTTTTCAATTGGCCGTTTCAGGGCTGCCTGCCTGCCTTGTCATGTCAGGGCTGCAGATGGAGCCAGCCCGTGGCCATTTCGCTGCTTCATGTGGCCTCCAAACCAGCTCCTTGTGAGCACCGGTGCATGCTGGTGCTTGATGTCGAAGGACATCAGTGGCCCAGACGTCCCCATGGCAGGGGGTGACATCCCCACTGCCCAAACTGTGCTGGGAGCTGTGATGTGCAGCCGGACTGGAGCATGGCAGGCTTCCCACCTCGCAGCACCAAGCCATGCCCTGCTGCTCCTCGCCTTCCCCGCTGCATTCGCCGTGCCGCCGGGGTGGCTGCCG